GTGAAGGATCTTTTTCGTGCCAGCACCTACGGGATCGGTTTATACGGTCTCATCCGAAGGACCGGTCTCCACGTCCCACAGTGGGATTCGAACCCGCGACGTAAGGATCAGCTCCTTACTCCGCGACTCTAGAGCAGACGCTCTAACCACTGCGCCATGCGGGCGACGTGTATATCTTGTAACTAGTCCTTTCCCACATATTTGACCTGTTGACCTTGACCTACTTTAGCTGAAATTTACCAAACTTTAAACTTGGCCATAACTTTTGAACGGTTGGAGTTAGAGCTCTGTACCAACATTTTTGACGTTGAACTTGACCTTGGAGTTTGACCTACATAACTATATATTTGTACATTTGTACATATATTCCGTATGACATAGCCTTTCTCATGGTTCCAACATTTCTGACCTCATGGACTAATAGGTTTTACCTACATCTGAAAAAACTTTAACCTTTCCTGTATCTTCTGCAACCACAATATTTTTTATGCCTCATCATCATGATCATGTTAACGATAAAAATTAATACAAAAGAACCACAGACCTAAAAAGGTGAGATGTATGTAAAAGCCTCTCATTAAATGTTAATTCTAAATTGTTCAAATCATCACCGGTGGTATAGTGGGGTCACAATATGGAATCTACGTTGTGTATTTAGAATTTATAAAAAAAATTCCCCACTACTTGACCTGAAACATCATAATAAATAGTTTTTTTTTAAATAATTCTTAAGAACAATCAGATCTGAAAAGGTGAAACTTAGGTAAAATCTTCCTTAAATAATGTGTGTACTAACATGTTCAAAACTTAGCTCCAAAGATTAGGGTGGGGCCACAATAGGGGAAAATTTTTCACATTTGACTATATAATTTTTTTTATTAATAAATCCTCTATAGTACCATTCATGTGCAATGAAATATATGGGGATAACAACTAGTTATTAAGCTCAAAAATCCATTGAAACAATACAAATCAGGAGCAGTGCAAACACAGACCTTTAAAAGCACCTGAGGTGGGATCAGGTGCCATGAAATAGTAAACATCTGTCGACCGATCACAACCACCGTTAGCTCCTTGTCATGATTGACATGATGCGATAAGTGGAAAAAATCCGTGAATACTTTAGTGTGTAAATATTGACCTAACAATAGAACATGCGAAATGATGACTTTAAACGAGACTGTTGATATCCTTTTTCCATTAATTTGTTTGTCAATAGCTTGCTTCATTTTAGAAATTGTTCGTACGTAGAGCACGCTCTTGTGTATCGAATCAATTTGGAGACATAGGCTCCATATGCAGGTAATAAGGGTATATTGCTACATAGGTAGGGGATGTCGATGATAGAAAGTTGAAGTCATCACGTTTATCATAAAGTTTTTTTTAATTATGTAAACCATTGACTTATCTTTGTTAGCATTGGAATTAATGATGCAGCTTTTGCGTAAGCGGGCTATGTAATTTTTTTCTGCAATTGCTGCAAAGTAAATTCCCATACTAACAAAGAAAGAAAGATGTTTATTGTTTATATTTACATCTGTGTAAAAAAGCTTATAAATTTAAAATAGGTACATTTAATATTTTAAAATTGATATGTTTGTCATTGTATGTTTCATTGATGGAAAAACCGTTGCTCCAGAAATCTATACAGGTGGCTTGCTGAGCGGTGTTTACTGACTGATTAACAACCGTGGTTTAAATAAGAAATAAAAGAGATAATATAATATTCAGTGGATGAAAATATTCAATTATGAAATAATATAAACGTAAGCTGCAACTTGGTAACTTGCGATATTTTTTTAAGATTGCACTATTTTCTAAACTTAACGGAAAAGGGTGTGTAAATGCTCTCAAATACCTTAGTGTGTAATTTTTTTCTTGGATGCCCAAAATCCATCATAAAAAATATTCTGAATTATTTATGAAAAAGATAAATTGATAATAAAAAAAGCAGAGTGAAATAGTACACCAACTTCACTATTTTAAACTGTTTTAGTTTATGAGCGTTTAAATGTAAATCGCGCGAGTAACTACTTCACAAAAATTCAAAATTGAGTGACACTGATATAAATTTATACTTTATTTATTGAAACAAAGATATTTTCAGTCTCGATCAAAACAAATGTCATTATTCACCAGTACGGTCAGTGATGCGTAACATTGATATCCAAAATGTGTGGACTTTCTTCTAATCATGCCCCCCCCCCCCCCCCAAAAAAAAAAAAAAAACAAAAACAAAAAACGTTGAAACCTCAGGTATTGATACTTTTTTATAAACAATGATCGATCTCAAAAAATTCACAAGCAATAAAAATCTGTGAACGGGGCATAAAATACGGACCCCCGGAAATTTCAGAGGTTGGATCAGATGCCTTGGGGAAGTAAGCATCTCCTGTTGGCCGGTCACATCCGTCCTGAACCCTATAAATTGATACGACATTCGAGGGAAGAATAAAAAAAAATTATTCTTAAATGCTTCTTTGTCAATCAATATTTACCCCTCATCATGAAGCAATTTTTCAATATCAAAGTTATCTTTCTTTGGTTACAATGAACATTAAAATAAAAAGATACAATTTTTAGGGAAATTTTCTGTTAACAGTTCAGTCTTGCACAACATCTCTAAACTCGCTGCCTTTCTCACTGAGATCGTATGGCAAGTGTTTTCATGTAAGGAACTACTCTACTTATACGTTGAAGGTACTTATATTTTTAATTCTCAATAATAATTGCAATTGTGAACAGTTAAATACCACCCTTTTTCATATTTTCCAAGGATTTAATGTTATTAGTTTCAATATAATTCAATCCTTAAATTGCTTGTAACTTCATATTTTTCGATTGAATTTAATTTCTCTTTTTAATTCATTTATCTTTATACAAGACCAGAAATAATCACGAATTCTAAGGAATTCCACACCAGTTAATTACAGGATCAGAATATGATTAGAGATTTTTATTGATATGAAAATTGAAAAAAAAATTGATGATTTTAATAAAAAATTGTTATATTCATAACGAGATATATTTGCACAGAATACTGTAGATCCCTAAATATACCGCTTAAGTTTTAAAATAATAATTTTCACCATATGTGCATAATGATTTATTTTAAACCCACTAGTAGTATTGAAACTCATGATCTCATCAAAATACAGTTTTATGTATTTGCAAATCAGAAACTTAACCAAACCCTCTTCAAACAGAGACGTACATTTCCTAACGATTAATCCTAATGATTATTACAGCGAGAGTCATTATAACAATAAACGAAACAAACTATTCATATCAGCTAGAACTCTGCTTGGGGAATGCATCAATGGCTTGTTGTGGATTGTATTTTATGAAAAAACGAGTTTTGTTTTTTAAGTGATTTTTTTTTAATTTCAATAAAATGATCTTTAACAAATAAGCTTGTATCAAACGAAATACATGTTTTGTACCCCCTGCAATACAGTCAGGAAATAATTACGCAATATGTATTTGGTTCTTATGAGGAGACACCTAACATGGAATCAATGAAATATGGAGATAACAAACAGTAATCAAGCTCAAAAGTCCATTGAAAGAAAAAAAGTCGGGAGCAGAGCAAACAGGGACCTCTGCTGACGAAAGGAAGAAAAATACATTGGTTCAAAGGTCATATGAAATGTTATGTTGTTATAAAGTAGAACGCTTGATTACTTGTTTGGTGATCATTGACAAAATATTCACATTATTAGTTACATTGTATCCAGGTTCAATCAAGGGTGTACGGGGATTTACCCCGGGTTTTATTCCATTCACCCTGAGGCGAAGGCCGAAGGGTATATGGAATACAACCCGGGGTAAATCCCTGAACATCCTTGATTGGACCTGGATAAAGAATTTATTTCTTATGTAACCAAATAAACCCTTTGTAAACAAGTTCAATTAATGGTTTTTAAAACTATCGATAAGATTTACTGCGTGCTACAATGCATCGTGACATTATGTTATCTGCTTTTTGTGATAGAGATGCTATGCGTTGTGACGTCACGTTATTAACCCCCGGCTCAAGCTGGTGTACGGAAATTTACACCCGGCTTGTTAACCAATCAAATATCGTGTTATTAGATGAATGGGAAATAAAAGTTAATATTAGGGAATATCACATAAGTTACTCGATACATTGGGTTGCGCATGAAAAAAGGAACTAAAAAAATGGAAGACTGATTCTATATGCAGTGTTCTATACCCGCATGCATTCATCATAACTCGAAATAGACGCAACTTCATTTAAAGTTATTTAAATTGTTCTCAAGTTCTGCATTCTGCAATCCAGACTGTTGACAAAATTTGACTTTTGACGTCAGTCAATGAAACAACATGTTAGTTGAGTTATTGCAACTGCTAACTACGTATACATTTTACAAATGCTGAAGGGGTGCATTTTCTAATTTAAATTCATCCGAGGTAAGGGGCTAATAAGTCGCCGCCCCGACCGAAGAGTGTTAAAATTTTCCGAATTGCAAAAGAAAACAAAGGAAAAAATTAATGCTCGCCTGTTGTTACATACACTGTACCACTGTTTAGCAAAATTTTATTATAAAAAAAAGTTGAATTTAACATATTGATATTTTCTTTTCGTTTTGCAAAATCAAAATTTAGTGTATACCAACGTACATGTATATACAGATACTTGGTACATGCAATTTGCCCCTGATAGTATATATTTTAACTATTTTAATGATATGTGTGCAAATAGGTGTATGTTCATGTAAATACATATTTGCATATGAATGGGTTTCTATTGAATTTATATTTTTTAAACCCATTCTTAGTTTAGCTACCGTATTGATAACAAAATTAAAGTCAATTTGCATATGAAACGAAAACAACTAGATATGACTAACTAAACAAATTCAATTTGATGCAAAGTGATGACAACAAACAGTGATCAATCTCAGAAATCCAATGAAGAATATAATCGTGAACAGGGCTTCTGGGAAACCCGATTAACAAACTTTACATTGTAGTATCTATACACACCACGCTGATCGACTCTCGTCCAAATTGAGGTACAATCCAGCTATGAGCATACCCTTATCTCCTTCTTTAAAATATTGAAATATATTAAATCTTTCTATTGATAATCTTTTCCCGTTAAATTCACTCTCTTCAATCTCTTCTATTTCATTACACTCAATTTCTATGCTGTTCTGTGATCTTCTGTAAATTTCACGTCTAAAATCAAACGCAATTGAAAGAGTGTAATTGATATCTTTCCTCAAGGGTATTAAGAATTGGGGGTACAACATCATCATTTTGTTCTCTATTTGACAAAGATCAATGGAAAACTGTGTGCTTCTGTCATCGTCAGAATGTGATGGCGAAATAGAACCAATTATCTTAATATCTTTGGCACCTCTTTGTCTGATATGCTCCATATGAATCCCTACCAAAACTGAGTAAGATGATACACAGAATTTCAACTGAAATTTACGTTTACCGTTAAAACATTCAATTGTTCGAGTCTTCTGTAGTAAACGACTTGTCATCAATGTTTTAGGCTTCCATATTCTTCTATGGGACTTAAACCTCCCAAGCATTTCTGTGTTTTTCGTTTTTAACTGACGTCGCAAAATCTGTACTTTGTCAGACAAAATGTTTGATTCACAAACAACATCGTCCAAAAACTGATGACTCATTATTGGAAACCGAACCTCGTAAAGAATGTCTCCTAAGACTGTTCTTTGATTTTCTGCGGTGACTGGTAATTCTTGACGAACGCATTCTTCTTCTGACCATTTACAAATCTGTTGAAAAATAAGGTTTTCAGGAGCAAATATTCGATCATGCTGAGTTATTTTGTAGATACTGGTAGAACACATTTTCATAAATGCATCCGTGTGTAGAAAATTAGGGGTGTTGAGTTCTATTGCCTCTAGACAGATGTCCATGATACCTGGGTCGTTGAACAGATAAGCAAATTCCATCATTTGGCAAACCATGTCTGAGTTAATAAATGTTTTTAAAGATTCTTTACACAAAACTGATAACATTTCTGTTTCATATTTCTTTGCACAACACAGCAGGTCTCCAAAGTTCTCAGCGGAAATTCGAGTACTATCGGTATATAGAAATCTAGAAAAAAAAGACTCATGCATATATCAAATACGCAAGAGCATGATCTACGTATGAACGATTTCTAAAACGAGGTATGTTACTGATAAACAAGTAAATGAAACAAGCATATCAACGGTCTCGTTCAAAGTCATCGTTTCGTAAGTTCTATGGTCGATACAATGACCTTGTAGGCAAATACAATATATCATTAAGTCAAATGCTGACTGACGTTTTTCATACTAATTGTTAGGCAATTATTTGAATTGTCTACGGAATTTTCCATTGGCATGGCACCTGATCCCACCTCTGATGTTTCAGAGATCCGTGTTTGCTCTGCTCCTGATTTGGTTTTTTTTAATGCATTTTGAGATTAAATACTGTTCGTTATCTTCATTTATTTCATATATATAAACCATTTCATACCACCTGAATTATTATCCTCATAATGTATATACATAAATGCCTGAGTTGCTTTAAAGGTATTTTTTTAAAATAGGAAATATGAAAATGCTATCTAAGCTCGAAGAATGATGAGCATGCACTTCAACAAGACTGGTTCACAATATGTTTACTTTCAAATGTTAACTACCCATGTTTGAAATAAAAAAAAAATGTTTTGTAAATGTTTTAACAAATCAACAATCTGAATATGTTTGATAATTTGTATAATGTCTTTTTGTGATAAATATTGCAATTTACATAATTAATAATGTTGTGTGATATATTGAAAAAAAAAACGCAGTCCGTTAAATAGTTATTTTTCAGTAGACTGCTGATCAAAATTACCATATATATATACAGGGGATCTAACGGAGCTTGAATGAGCTTAAATATTTCACCACCTAGCTTCAACGTAACAAGTATGGATGAGCTACAACTTACTCCATGAATTGCAGAAATATGTTCTCTTCAGTGTCATCCAGTTTAATCGCTTCCTTTGGGTTATTGTTCTGTCCTTCAAACATGGTGAAAAAACACTACTTCGACACATCAAGATGAACTTGTGGGCTTTTACTTCAGCGCCATGTTTTCCAACAAGGAATGTGACGTCACCAGAGTCAAGATGACTTTCATACATTTTCTTGACACAATTTGTCAAAGAACCCGTAGTTTGCCACCTTGCAACGGTTGTTTCCATATTAAATGCAACCCTAAGAAACAGAGTATGAATTTTATGGAAAAGGTGAAGACAGCGAACAGTGATCCATTTCATAAATACGCATATTTTTCACAATATGAAACGTGAATTTGGCAAAATTAAAACAGTAGAATCAGATGCCTAAGAGGCCTAGGAGTAAGCATACCCTTTCCACCGTTCACAACCTCTATGGACCCTTTGTATTGATTATTTAAACGGAGTTATCCAAAGTCAAAGTTGAGGAGAAAAAAAACTAAACTTTATGTGTATAAATTTTATCACAGCTAAATGTTTATTATAAAAAAACGGTGGTCAAATGTTATCCAATTGTATGAGTACTTACGGAGACAGAGATGATGAAGGGTTAACAGCACAAGTATAACTTATATGCCCAATTTTCTCAATAATGTGTGAATGCCCTTCGGGCGAAATATTGAAGAAAAAGGGAATTTACAAACAAACAATTCCTTAGGCGTAAGAACTTCTACGATATCAATAACGATTTGGCACAGCCAAAGGTTCTTTAAGTAGGCAATGCCTTTCGAATACCGGTATTTCAACACTTCTTATTCTTTCAATGAAACCAATGGAGCATACTGACATTGTATACACAAACATTAATCTTTTTAAAACTGCCTATTCAAGATAGATGCAAATACAAATAATAATTATGCACACAAGCCCTTTTAAAGATTGCCCAATCTATTGGTCTTCTTTCTAGTAGATGTTCATAAAAAATGTATTGATAAAATGCTCAATATTGGAATGAAAAAAAGTTTATATACTCCGAAAAGGGAATGAACTTTTCAATCCTTAGTTTAGTATATTGATAAATAAATACATGCTCTTCATTGAAGGGAGTCGCTGATCATAGCTTCTTAAAAGTATTTCTTGTAAGATCCGAGATGGGACATGTTTTTCAAAAGATATTTTTGATGAAATACCACGATACCCGATCATTATTGCAATTCCTTCACTAATTTTCTGCAGATATATTGTTTCTTCTTTTTTGTTGAAACGAATAAAGATTTTATTTTTCATATTTCTAGGAGGAGATAAGTATAACAAATTAACAATTTATTCATGATCTTGTACCAGTACATGAAAATTTCTTATTGGACATTAAAGTGTCATGTTTTTATGTTTCCTCTTAGTAATAGTTGTAGAATAATACATTGTATTTACTACTTGTTCAGCTACTAAGTCTACAATTTACAATTAATACGAATATTGATTGAATATTTGATTTTATCTTGTTTTATGTCACATTCCAGAATATTCTCTTCATATGTCTCATTCGAGAATTTTCCCTTCATTCAGAGACGTCATCATATATCGATGAAGGGCATCAAAATTAGACGTATACTCGGCAGTCAAGGCCATTGAGTAGTGAAAGTTCCTACTCCTGCTAACGCCTATCATGACATGGGACCTTTTCTCGGGGTCTCATCAGAAAGACCCGTGACTTTCACTTTCGTACGTGACATACGAGCATCGACTACCCCAATCACACCAAGAAGCGAACGCCATACCACACTGAAGATTCCAAAATATTAAAAAATATGTCAAATTAATCATTGCTTAGTTAAATGATAAGAACTTTCTATTTAGCTTGCAGCTAAAGTATATACATCTGCCCTAATTGTTCTGTGAATCAGTTTTGATAATTAATGTACTTAGAAATAGGGCAACACAGTATATGACCGATGTGAAAGTTTGAATGAACACAGAATGATACGTGCTTTTTTTTTTAGTGCTAGCATATTTTGTAAAGGTCAAGTTTGATTCATAAACATAAAATCATTCAATGATAAACGTAATCGTTGTAATAATTGGCTGCGACATCCCCCAAACTATTGACTAAGCCCTTTCTTATTTACTTCTAAATTGATCGATGTTTAACTTGATATTAGAAGAAGTGTTACGGTACTGATTTAAATAAGACGTTTATTTATAACGAATGTATGTTTTAAATAATATTTGTCGATAAATTATTACTGTTTGAATGAAATTGAATGGCAATAAATCATATTTTGATTTGTTATGTAAAACAACTATCATTTTGTTGTATATTTATCCTTATAGTAAATGATTAGATTAAAAAGCCTTGTTACTGTAAAGGATTAGCTTAAAACATTTATTACAATAAAGAACAATATCAAATGTATGAGAAGCATATTGTGTTTATCAATGTCTTGAAAAATATAGGCATAAATGTAAGTGTGTCAAAGGATTTTCATTCCAGATGTCCAAGATTTACAGAAAAGCCGAACATTGGTTTAACATCACATTGTTCGGCCTTCCCAGAATATCAATTCCTAAAAATATTTTTTAGATAGAAAATATTAATAATAAAATCACAAAACTATCTTTTGACGTTCTCATTTCCTTTAATGTATAAAAATGTGAATATAATTCAGATTGGTATCACATAAAATTGAAAGAAATATTTGATTTCATATTTAATATAAAATACAGTTATAAGGTACTTAAATAATGACATTTTGAACATAAGCATATAATTACCAAACTTGCATATTAGATCAGAAAACATATATTATTTTACAGATGATTGTGATGGAAGTAAATTTATTGCTTTTTTGTAATTTTAGATTATAATATTTCTATAATTAATTATTTACATGTTTTATAAAGATATACTCCAATTGTCAACATTTTCTCCAATCCAAATTGCCTACATCGACACAAACTTATATGTAAAGAGCAATCCGGTGTTCTGGCTGCAAATAACGTTTATATCCTCTTTTACAAAGTGAAAGTCCTGAAGTGAAAGTACAGTTAAACACAGCATATTGTATAAGTAGCAAATAGTGAAGATCAAGTTTCCAGTCGTTAGAGGGATACGCAAGTGAGTAAATGCTGGGTATAAGCATTTCTATGCAACTAAACTAATTAAAATGCCCAAGGATTATACCTATTATACAGAGAAAGTTAAAACTTATTGTGTAGTACATACTTGGTACCCACGACAAGATATAGCCAGTACACATTATGACGTCATATTATACGTCATTTTTTTTTTACTACACACGATAATAAAGGACATCAACAAAAAAGCTTCGGTGCAAGGGCATGCTCTATTTAATGAAGCTGAAATAAGGTATATTTAGAAGCAAAATATTCCACGGATTGTCGTTATTGCTGCACAAATATCAACAGCTCAGTTGTTTAATTACTATTTGTAAAGTTTTAAGTTGAAACAGGGTAAAAATGTACAGTCCGGTATAAGTTTCCTGAAATTCCGATCAAAATGAGAAAATGCCTAGGATTTTTGCAGCAGTTTTATTAATCTATAAAATATTTTAATTAGCATCACACAATTTTTTTTCTAAAATTAAATAGGATAATCCCTTGCGCCGAAACCGTTTTGTTGATGTGTTTTATTACCTCCAGTTGGTAAGAACAATGAAGTCATGATATGACGTCATAATGTGTACTGGCTTTAACATATCGCGTGTACTATGTATCTATAAGAAAATAACTCAAAACTTTCTCTGAATAATAAATATACCCCTTATGCGTTTTTATTAGCTCATTCATATACCTAGCCTTAACCCACTTGCGTATAAGTTGTTTAAGGATAAATAACACCAACAAACTTTTTTTCCAGAAATCAGCTATATTTCCCATATATTTATATGCAAATAGGTAACTTAAATGATATTTTCCAGGTAAAGTTGGAATATACTGTAAGACTTCAATGTCAAAAATATGTGCAAAATGTGGTATAGAATTACATAGAAAACGATATAAAGTTCATATCTAAGCACTAAAAAAAACTTGAGATTTCTTTATATTTAAGGGATTGTTTCTTTATGTCATTTCCATTCAAAATCAGTCAAAAACTATATATCAATCCATGCATCAAATTTTTGTTTGTATAATGTTTCCTTATGGTTGGCATCCCTGGTACTTAAAAATTCAAAATATCGACAGGTAAGGGTTTAGTTCTCTGGTATCAAAACTCTAAAGAAAAAAAATGTTCTCTAACAGGTAGCTTTATAGGTAAGTCTGACTCTGTATGTACAAGTAAATTTATCAAGGGAAAATCCTATTTATGCAACATTTGCGATAAAAGTAAAACATTCTTGACGTTTTATTATTTTTTTTCTTAAATCCAAATATCTAACATTCAATAATGTAAGAGTACTTTGAAGATTGAATACATAGTACCTGTATAGCTTAGGGTCATGTCTTGGGCTTTTTTACATTACATATTTTAATTGGTGTTACATTAAATTCATATCGTCATACATTTGTAAAAACATTTAAATTTCATATAAATAAATATCCCGTGGGAGAGCCCCTTTATTTTAAAGAGTAGCATTTTGAATATCTTTCACTGAACCGAAGAAGCGGAAGAAAACGTCAACACATTGAATCAAGCATCTGTAGTCTGTAATTTTAACATACATGTATATTTCATCTTTTTCATTACATTAATATAATCTGAAATTTACCGATCATGACAAAGAGCTCACGGCAGGTGTGACCCGTCGGCAGGGGATGCTCACTCCTTCATGGCACCTGATCACACCTCTGGTTTTGGAGGTCCGTTTTTGCTCTGCTCCCGATTTGTATTGCTTGAATGGACTTTTGAGCTTGAATACTGTTCGTTATCTCCATATTTCATCAATCAGCTGAGAACAAACTGAACTTTACAAAGTACCATCATATCATTCACGTTTAGTTTACACCAACACCTGATACTTAGTGCTTCACAAAAAATGATCTTTAAATGATATTATATAAATATATTAGCAGTAACTGATGATTATCATAGAGTTGATTGCTAAGAATACCTGA